TTTTTTTCTTTTTTTTTTTTTTTAAACAAGGTCCATCTATTGGTGGGGAGCAGCACCTGCTGGAAACCGGCTCCAGCGTCCCATAGATACAACCATATCCTCACTAATTGGCACGAACTGTAAAAAAAAGAAAAAAAGGGAATGTGGCAATAATGCCCCCGGGTGAAGAGGCCAGAACTTCAAGATCATCTGACGCCCCGTGGTGGGTGAAGAGGCGGGGAACTGTACAGCATGGGGAGAACCTCGTATATCATAAGGGACGCTGGACCCGGTTTCCGGCATGTGCAGCTCCCCACAAATAGAACGGAGCCATCATGTCCAGTTGATGTGGCTCAGTGGTTAGAGCACCAGTTGGAAATGCGCATTGTGGTATGAGGTTGCGGGTTCAAAACTCAATTGCAACCTTGCACATGGACACCGGCAGTGTGTTAGGGCATCGTTCGACACTCCTCAGGGCATCCTCTGAAAAGTTTAGGTTTTTTGTAGTCTTCGTTCCACTCATCCTCGGAGCATCAGTTTTAGGACTCATCCTCGGAGCAATGTCAAGGGGGGGTTGCAAACACCGGGGATAGGAGTTCAGGCACTCGTACCTGAGGAACGTAAACATAAAGCAAGGCGAACACCATCCTGGGTATGGCTAGGCCAGCAGGAAGTGGAGACTCTGTATTTTGGAAGGGTGACATAAGCAGCCCGGAGGGGGAGAGAGATGCTCTGGAACAAGAACTCAGATGGCCATATGCCCAACAAACATTACACTACATTGATGTATCCAAGGGACGCTGGACCCGATTTCCAGCAGGTGCTGCTGCCCACCAATAGATGGAGCCTCCCCGGCGGTGCTAGAGGTGTCTGATCATATCAGCACACCTAGCATCCGACCGGGTTGTTCTCTTAAACCACTAGTACCTCCGCAAGTGTTGGGAAAATAGGGAAAAGTGGCAGTTTTCCCAAACTCCTAAAGATTCGGAGGTACTAGTGGTTAAAAATAAAAAAAATAAAAAAAGGGGGGAAAAAAAAAAAGTTGTGCTTCAGGCTTTCAGCCAATTTGGGTGCCGCCACAATCAGAATTCTCGGTTGTATCGTCTCTCTACGTGCATGCCCTCTCCTCTCCGTGAAACACGGATCCTCGGGCCCCGAAGGACCTCGCGAGGTCCTTTGGAGCCGAGGACGATTTGGCTGGGAAATCCTCGGAGCCCAAGGATTTGTCCTCGGAGTGTTTTCACATTTTCATTTCCGATTTCATCTCCGAGGACAGGTGGAACGATGACGGAATCCTCGGAATCGCGTCCCCGAGGAGTGTCGAACAACGCCCTTAGATAGACGCACGGCTGGACACACTCCCTTGGGCTGACGCATGGTACTATTACAGACACTGCCTGTGCACCACCCAAGGGTTGTTCATGGTGTTGTTGTTGGTTTTTTTATGGTGTTTTTTTTTTTTTTTTTTTTT